ACTGTGTTGCTGACACAGTCTAGATTTTAAAATACTACATGGAAATCGATAAATAATGCAGTTTATTACTGATTTTTTACCCTACGGTTTTATTACGGTTTCTAAGAATAACCATGAACGAATGGGCTTTGGAAGAAATGATCATTTAAATAAAAATAGAAAGGCCGTAGAAGACCGAACCAAAATTGGGCGATCCAAGTAAGGCCGCTAAAGAGGGTGAAGTTGCAAAGTGATTTTCTGCGGCCGTTGGTAGGCCAAACAATACCTTCACACAGAGAGCACATGTAAGCCAAAGTAGAAGTAAGGTGAACACAGAAGGAAAAGCGGTCAAGAACAGTAGCAACTACTACATGGTGTATGCTCATACCCATAGTTTGAAGGAACCTACAATTGTTTTTCTAAATAAATTTCAAAAATCTCTACCAACTCTAAAGGTCGACATTCATTCCCCTTCCCCTCCCCCTCCTTCCGGTTAATATTTCATACCCCAACGGGTAGGAAAAGCCAATCGGGGCATACGCCGAGTGATTATTTATTTCAACAATCATCAAGCTTTGGCAAGGCTATCATCGATGGTTTCCTCTTCTGAAAGTATCTTAAAAGCCAACTTACTGCAATTTCAACTCTTTCAGACATGCTAGTACCAATTTACCATCGAAAAATGAATTGTAGAAGGACCGATTTTTCTGCTTGGTAGGAAACAAAGCACTGGTTTTTAGCTTTAAAATATAGTACTCTACGCTGCACAATGCATTAAATTTTAAAAAAGTTAGAAAAACTGAATTAGCTACTTACAGTTAAGAAAGAACACAGTGCATTATGCATAACTGGTTTTCAGTTTCGAGCACACACATGCCGGTCTGCAATTGGTGGCCCGGCGCCGTCTCGGGGTAACACGTTCTGCTGGCGATGCTTCGCTGGTCGAGAAATGCACCGTAATCAAATTTTCCAGTGCTTCCAGCATTTCTTCGAGAAGTTCAATTTGTTGCTGTGTTATGGATGCTTCGCCGACCGGAAATGTACGCTCCAGCGCAGCGCATCGACGCATTTCCACAACACAGGCATTCACACAACCAATAAACTGAGATGCATGCCGCGTGAATTCAACACCTGCAAGGGAGGAATACCAGCTGGAGGGGAGGGGCGATTAATGTGGTGGAATTCTTTCAAATCTGCCACTGGACAAGTTATTTCATTGTGGTTCAGGAGTGGCACTGCTCGCGAGACGAGATGATGATGCTCAACAAACCCTATGTACATTTCTAGAAATGACTAAAAAACCCTGCCAAGTGATTTTGATGAGAAAAAGTCGTCGAATTCGCAAGTTTTTTTTTTCAGGAGTTGAAAAAATACACGTGTAAACTTTCACTAACTTCAATTACCACAGTCAGAGTACAAACGCGGTCCAATTGTGGTAATGGTAAGAAATGTACACGACTTAATGAAACGAAACACTTCTTACCATTGTAATAATCTCAAAAATTTTCTAATTTTCATTTCTTATCTTCCTTTTCCTTTTTTCCTTTCTATTAGAAATAAGTGCCACTGAATGTCCCAGTTTAAAAGCCACTGCGAGGAAATCCTGGCGCCCTATACTCGGGTCCTAGATCCCACCAAATGCACAAATTTAATGGTTACCGTCATTCGGATCTCAGCTTTCTTCTTAGCCAAATGCTCCGAAAATAAAATCAGTAAAGAAGAAAT